TGACTCGAGAGCCGGAACAACTATGGCATGGCAGGTAGGCGAAACTCGCTTGTCGAGGGCATTTTCGACTATCAGAAAGTCTTCACGAAGGGCAGTTTCAAACTGTAAGTGCAAGACGAGGAGAAAGCAAGCAAGAAGGCAAGCGAAGTTTAAAGGATGCGGAATCGCTGCTTGGTTCATTGTGTTACAATGTCCGCAGAAAGTCCCCAAGGGCCAGAAGGAGGGACGGTTACCTTTTTCTTTAGTACTTCAGCTGTCTAGTTCGAGAAATCAGCGGTCTTCGGTACTGTAGTTAAATGGCTGCCAGCCATAAGGCTGAGCATCTGGAATGAAGCCAGTGTTGTATTCCGCACCAATATAAAGTCCGATATCATGTTCACTTGTGGTAAAAAGCTGGCAATGTTTGTAAAACGGTTCTCAATGGGGGAGTGTTTGGGTGGAAACAACTGTAACACAATGTCTGGATGGCGAAGTAAGTAGGTAGGTATGTTCGGCATCGGCCAGAGCGATGACGTTGAGAAAGTCTGTGGTGTTAGTCAGTAGATTTATCAGCTAAAGGCTGGCTCTCGAGGCACTCGAGGGCAGTCCAGGCAGGCTGGTACTCATCGGGCAGGGCTATTGTCTGAAGATTGTGACTGTTCTCTGGGGCATGCGCATTCTTCTCTTCTTTTTCGTCGGGCGGCTCACAGTACATTACCTTTCCCGGTATGTGTCCTGTGGTGTTGTTGTACTGGAGCAGTTGCATTTGGAATTGCTGTGGTCGTGGGCTGAGCTCATCAAGTCACTTTGTTGTCATGAGAGGTACCAGTGATTTGTGGTCCATCTCGATCTGAAACTGCAGTCCTAGAATGTATATGCGGTAATGATCACATTCCCGTGTGATCACGAGTGCTTCTTTCTCGATTTGCACATAGCGTTACTCTGCTTCATCCAAAGAGCGCGATGCGTAGGCAATGGGAAGCCCCTTGTAGTAAGACTGCACCGAGTCTGTAAGAAAATGCATCCGCTGAAACTGTGAGAGGCTTCTGTAAATTGTAGTGCATTAGAACTAGAGCTTTGGCTAGAGCTTCTTTGACTGTTTCAAAGTTTTGCTACTGGTCGGGTCGGGACGCAGAGAAGGTCCTGCATTAGCTTCGTTGTGTGTGCCAGATTGGTGAAAACTTGGCAAGGTGGGTTGCCATCCCTAGAAAGGATCTCGCTTCTCTCACGTCTGATGGTAAGGTAATCTGTGTGGTCTCATCCACTTTTTTTGGATCAGGCTTCACGCCTTTGCCAAAAACGATGTGTCCTAAGAACTTGACAGTTTCTTGCCGGAACGCGCACTTGTCAATGTTGAGTGTTGTGTCGGCTTTTCTGAGTCTCTGAAAAACTTTGGCCAGATTCATTCGTCAGCAGTCGGCATCAGTACCCATTCTCTAACGAGATGCTTGCTGAGCTTGCTGTGGTCCATGCAAATGCAAGCGCAGGAGCGCCGGGCAGAGTTTCCATTGTTAGGGTTGTCTAACGGCGGTGGTGATGATTATGACAGTCTCGACAGATCACCAGTGGTGTAGCCAGGTGTGCCTGAGAGAAATGCGATGACCCGCACATTTCTCTCAGGCACTGCGCCTTGGGTGCAATGTGATCTCTGCCAACTCAATATTTTGTGCAAGAAAAAGGAGGAGGGAGGGAGGGAGCGGCGCTGATGCAAGCTGAGGCCTCCCCCCCCCCCCGGCTATGCCCCTGTACATGGCAACACATGTGGTTAAGGAGATAAGCTTCTTGAGAGCTTGTAGCAACTGCTCTTATGGGCCCCAAGTCAATATGGAACTCTTGTAGTGCAGTTTGTGCAGGAGCGTTGTAGCTGCAAGTTTGGGCGGAAAGCAAGCGAGGTGGTAGTTGGCCATACTAAGGGTGCAACGCACACCTGATACATTCTTCAGGGCTTCAAGATACTGGATCACTTGCAGCCTCTTTGAGTCAGGTTTGACCCCGTGCTTGTCAATGACATGTTTGTGGAATGCAAGCTTTTTGACACCAAACACATTTTTTATGACTGAGCGTAGTGCCGGCTGCCTTCAAACACTCCAGCATATTTTGCAAATCCTGATTGCTTCTTCAGTGTACTTTCGAAAAAATGCACATAGTCCATCACGTTGACAATGCCGGAAGCTCTGCTTGCATTTGCTTCTGAAAGTGTTTGGGAGATGATGTGATGCCAAAAGGTCAGCGCTCTCAAACATGCAGCCCGTGGGAATGCGCGTCGCTCCAGCATCCCACAAATGCAGGCATTCACTCCCCGTCTTGAGTGCCACACTGCAATGGTTTCAAGTAATCTGTTCTTCATTCCTCAGACATATTCAGCATCATGGTGGTTGCCCATAATTACTTCAGTATTGTTTCAAAACAAAACTTTAGTTGATTGATCACCTAATTTTGCAAATTATGCCTTATTCCTTCTACACTGCATATTTGTAGTCTTGATCTTGGTTTCCAGCTGTTTCTCATGTTTAGCACTCACTGGACAATCTCATTTACCTTCTGAACAGCCAGTGAATATTTGATACAATTCCTATCCTAGGGTGCTGTTATCGAAATTCCCTGGGAAGCAAGCGAAAAGTGTTCTGTCCAGTTTTTCTAAAGAATTGTTGAACTGGACTCTTTCACGAGCTAATTGATCAACAAGGCCACCAACCGTGAGCTTCTACTATATAGAAAAATGCAAACATGTTCACAGGGTAGCATCGTGCTGGATTTTCTTATCAAATATAGGATCACAGTGCTCGTGTGAAACATTCAAAGTTAAAGATATCCCCGTAAAACAATCGAGTTTGCAAAAGGCTTGGAGCACAACATCCCTTCTCCACAGTATCGCAGGCCTGTCGTTGATCTACTCTGCTGCTTACAAGAAGCCCCACCGTTGGCCTTTTTTTTTTTTTTCTTTGCCGCCGCCTTGGCCTGTGACCCTTTGTGAATTCCCCAGGATATCGAAGAGCAAAATTGTTTGTTGGCACGTAGCCACCGATTATTTGGTATTTTGTCAAGCACAAAGTGCACACAGACAAAGACTATTATTTCAGTTGCAAAATAAAAGCACACTTCCATTGGTTGTGCTGCTTCAATAAACAAATATTGTTGCTGTCAGAATGCTTCGAGCTGGAGTAGGCATGCAAGATATTGTAGAGAACAAGAGCATTCAGCTCAGGTTGAGTTAACATTTTATTCGGGGTCCAGAAACCCTGTATGGGTGTCTGATGGGAACTGCTCCCGGATCCTGCAGACGACGCAGGCTGGCAGGATGCGCCTGTTGTGACGCCCCAACCGTTGCCACATCCACCGAACAAATTGGCGGTAGGCAACGAATCGGAGCCTGCGAAAATGACAAATAACAATGACGGGTAAATTATTACTGGTGTCAATGTTACTGCCCGTTCACACACGAGCAACCGAGTACGACCGAGAGAGACAAGACCGCCTGTCAAGCTTGTTGCGACGTCCTAGGACCGGGTGCACTGCTGCAGAGCTGGTCCTAAGACGTCGTAAGGGGCTTGAAAACCGGTCTTGTCTCTCTCCCCCTACTCGGTTGCAAGTGAGTGAATGGCGCTTTACTGGCATCGATTATTATTGGTATCAAAGTACAAGTCTAGATGCAGGGTTATACACCAGGTCTGCATAGGTACAAGATTAAGAAGGTGAGACGTGTGCGGGGAAAAATTTAAGTGAAATGCAAGACCACAGAGGACAGTGTGTCATTGGGAGCTGAATATCTACAGGAGCAGATAATTGTATTGCATCTGCTTACAGGAGACATCGATGCATATAAAATGCTGCATTTTTTCATGCTTCTCTGATATCAATGCTTATGTGACATGCAACATTACCTGTGGTGGCTTGTTACCCTTTACTACCACTTGTAGCGATAATTGTAAGCTATCTACAGGTTCAGATGGCATTCCCAACATAATTGTAAAGGGCTGTCACAAATGCTTTGCCATTGTTCTTCGAAGAGTGTTCAATTCTGATGGCATGGCATCCTTTCAGAAAAATGGATATGCTCGATTGTCGTGATTTGAGACCTGCTGTTCTTGTCCCTTTGTCTTCAGTCGTCTCCATTTCAAACACGAGTACAATATCAATATTATGCTGCATCACTTTTAAAGAATTTTTTAAGGTGTTTGGGTAGGCTGTGTATATTAGGGTGACAAATATGAGCACATTTTTATAATATGTTTGGCCAACTGCTCAGCCCGACGTGTCTACAGTCGGAGACAGCTCATGACTGAAGCGGAAGCTCCTCCCACTTCATTCCTCTTCGGTAGAGCGAACGCTGGGGATGAAGTAGCCTCCTCTAGATCATTTGCTCTGCTAAAGTGGAAAGAGGAGGTGGGACGAGCTTCCTCTTCGTTTTTGACTTGTCACCGATTATAGAGTGTTTAATAAGGTTAGCAATGAAATTGTCCGTGCCGAAGCTTGGTAACAATGGGCTGAGCCCTAATTATAATACCTCTTTCAAAAGTGTACATGTGTGTGTGCTAGACTGCAAAGGACTCGGGTTGAATAAAATTGTATGCCAAGCTTCTGCATTTTGTTTTGATCTGTAAACAAGTAGCAACCGAGTTTCCAAAAGCAATATTCAAATGGGGAAAGAATAATGTCCCTAAATTATCTGATTTCGGAAATCTTAGGTCGCACTAAATAAGGCTGCGCTGCTTCTGACCGAAATAAGAAAAATAAGAAAAAAATTGTCACCACAACTGGTAGTCGCACCAAGCAAGAACTGATCATCCATCGCTCAAAGGGCCTGCTCTTATTTATGTCAAAATACGACAAGAGAGCATACACGCGAAGCACTAAATTGCACTTTACTCGAATTATTAGCGCCGCTCAACAAACATTTTCACCGTAGGTAGATTCCACGCTCTTCAGTTACGAAAAAAACCGGCGACCGAGTGCGCGTGCCTGCGGTGACGCGGTAGGCGTACCAATCAGCGGCAGCAATCTACGGAACGTTGGGACACGAATTACGCACATCGGTTCTCCCTGCGTCGGGGGATATCTGCATCCTCCAGAGCCCAAAGGGCAACTCGGAGCACGGCGGGCTGGAGGCAGACCAGCACGAAGTCCGCGTGCTCCGTAATACAGCCCTCCGGCTGTGCTGCCTTCGCAGGTATGCATTCCCGGCAACACAGGCACTCCCTTGAGGACGGCATAACCTCGCATCTTTTACAAGAGCACCTGTTGTTAAAATAAAGGAGACGTCACACAAAAGCTACATGTAATAGCACAGAAGTTGAGAACTATGACGCTCAGCACTTACCACGCCGTGTTCATGAGACGCCAAGCGTCTGGGTCCGGACTCGGATCGGGCAGAGCTGGCACGTCCTCTTCGTCGACGGACCGCTTTGGACGTTTTGCAGGCGTGCGAGCGTAAGGAGATAATCCTATGGACTCGCTGTGCACGAGCATCTCGCGCTCCAGGTCGCTCAAACCGTCCCTCCACGTCGCCATGTTGAACGAGAGAGAGCCTGCTCTCGCTGTAGCACAATGCTGCTCGTCGGAGGCGCTAAACACAGAACAAAACCGGAAGTTCTGCGGCTCCAAACTGACGTCCGATGCACGTGACCCGGAAAGTGCTGGATGAGTTGAGGGGTTTCACAAACCTCAATTTATTCTAATTTTTTAATATAGGAACGCGCGCACCTGGACAATAACTGTTTTCTGATCTTCCTTTTGCTAGTTACAGAGAGGACCGGCCACACTTATTTGGCCGAAGTCCGAAAATTGTTTCATGGGCCCTTTAAAGTAGGAATTCTCGTGTTCCGCCTCGCAAAAGCGCTGCACGAAGGGACCGGGATGCCTAATTCCGTTAGGAAGCTTTGCGTACATCGCCTACGCTGCGGATTTCTGGTCTCGTGGTCGCCAGCTCAATCTATGCTCAACGTGACGGCCAACGCTCCCGCTAGTAGCGTAGAGCTCTACCATGCGGTCTACAAAAAGGTTATTCTTGGCCCTAAGTGGGAGAAAACTGGTCGTGTGCGCGGTATGTCGAGCAATATATAGACATCGGGAATGGGTTCGCGTTTTGAGGCCGTTTGCTCCAAGCACTTTTAAGGGACAGAATACGTTTACTTGTTTTCAGGTAATTACAAAGGCAAATTAAGGAATGATCGAAGGATTTCAAGCGCGCCTGTGTTAGCCAGCCATTCGTGACGAGATTAGAACGGTAGTTTTGGCGAAGAGGGTCGAACGTTGCAAGTAACACGCTACACAAATGTGTAATATATTATACTATTTTTTTTAAAGAGCAATAAATAAAACTTTTAAGCCCGCCGATGATGTTATAGGAAGTTTTAGCATAGCTTTACCGCAGGCTACTGTGCATAAGCAGGGCACCGCTCATGCATTGCTCGCGCTGAAACTCAAGGGCGCAGCGCGAGCTTCCGGTTGCTTCTCCGTATACGGAGAGCCTCCGGTCACGCTCTCCGTAATCGTCCTATCAAAAACCATAACGCAGCGCGTGTTGCGATACAGGAAAACCCGACTGAGCAGCGAGTTGTGAGCCTGTGCCACGAAGACGTCCATCCTTTGAACGCTGCTCTTCCGAAGCTTGACGGTCGCCGTGCGCGGCTCACTTTTTAGAACCAGGCAACGCGCAAACATCACAATATCGCCATCACCCTCAAGAATATTTTGCCACAAGGAGAGACTTCGGGTGGTGCCCAAAACGCGCACGCCCTTTACAAAGCTTCGCAAGTTGAGGTCTCCGCAACTTTTAAATATAAACATGCTCGTTTTCCTAACGCACGTCAACATTTCCGTCACCCCTAATATCCTCCTTCCCTGATTGCTTCGCATTTGCGGACAAGTAAATTATTTTTAGCCTAGTGACCAGCGTCACCGAACAGGCGCACGGCCACATCCTGGAAAATCTATACCCATTTCTTCCGCCATGCTGAATAGACATTACATAAAGGGTTAGTAACACCTGTATGGGTGTTTTAAAGTCTAGTGAGTGGTTTTAGGAGTGAAAAAATTCGAGTCATAAAAAAGTCGAACTCGCGAAAAATTACTCACGAGCATGATTATGCATATTGTCAGGGGTTGTGACCAAAAAAACAATAAATAAACAGGAAGAAATAAACGTTTAATGTGGCGACCTTGTGCCAAAAATAAAAGAGTACAAAAGATAATAACAGAGCGTCGCGGGCGTCGAAGTCGACGTAACGGCAGGGTCGAACGCTGGGGCGAGACTGACTCGGCAAGGTCGCGGGCGGCCTCTTATCTAGAGTGAGTCACTATCTCGAAGATTCGGCGGGGAAGGTTCGAGCGTAGCGCGCTCGGGGCGAAAATGAACACGCACTTTCTAGAACAACAAAAGCAGGGATAAACGAGAACCTTCTGCAAGTCTGCGCGCGGCAATATCTAACGTGATATCGGGGCATACAAATAATCTAGGTAGGCATCCATATCAAAATATCGAATCTCGCTCACGTCGTCTCGAAACTTAGGGCACTTGCATCGTTTCAGAAGTCTCATATTTGGAATAAACAGTGCGGCTAACCTAACAATGCTCATTACAAGGTGAATAAAAATATAATTAATAATAAAAAAAAATGTCAAAAGAACACTTGTGAACACTTTCTACTAATGTTGGACTCGAACGCTTTATACACTCCCAGACAACGTACGGAAGATAACTTGAGCCTGGAGGGAACTAGTGAAAACCTATCATGAACCGTAATATGCAGATTGACGCGAAAAACTGGCACGTAATCTTTGTAAATCAACGCACAGAAATGGGGCTTTGACATTCGCCACCGATATGACGTGCGTGGCACGAAGCCGGTCACTCGAACGCAGAGCCGTTTAGTGCATACAATTCGAACGTGTAGTGCATACAATTCGAACGTGTAGTATCCTAGCCAGATGAACATTACGGAAGAGACTCTTAAACGCAGCATAAAGGAGAAGTGAAAAATCTTACCTGTGTTTTCCGCAAAAAGTTGACCCCCAATCGCAGTTCGGGCAGAACATCTTCCACTGGAAAAAAAAAAAAGAAAGCTTGGTTGCAGATTTGCGTTTAATTCAAGTTATCCAAATACTGTACTAGACTTACTGTAGTTTAACTGCTTTTAAATTATTTACCAAGTTTCGAATTACATTTTATTCCGGTAACTAGTAATTCACTTTAAACACCTTTCCCGAGTAACTTCAACTCAAATTACATAGACCGTACTACACACTCCGTGCGACGCGACCGGCGCGCTGCCGCGCGGCCGTTATCGAAGGCAGGCAGTGAGAACCCCAGTGAAACGAAAACACGCCGCATACATTGGTACGCATTCAAGTCGTAGCGGTGCGGTTGCGTTGGGTTGACAGCACGAACTGCTGCGTCGTTAAGTGCTTCAATAGTTACGCTTTGTATCTCGTGGGGACAAAATTTCACCATTTTTGAACTTGCCGATGTTTTTTGGGGCAGTGAAAACGATGGACCCGTGCCGTACGACGCGAGAAATTTGGTCTCCCTATTATGTCTGGTACTGTGTCGGCACGGCTAACATATTCTACACTGCCGCTTTGCGCTCTGCGTTTTGTTTTCGTACCAGTAACGCCTAAATATGTTAGAGCCGATGGGATGAACTGAAATGCCATCCCACACTCGCGAGTTTGCAGTTCTATTTTCGTTGGAGGAAGGCTCTCCGAAGAAGTTTCGTCCCCATCGTATGTGTCGATATTTCCGGACCAGTATGGCAGAAAGATTCGGACGGTACAGAAAATGACAAATATGAATATAAGGAAAACTACAATGAAACTCGAAATCACTGGACAATCCACGTTTGAGTATGGAAGTTCATGTAGTGTGCTTTCTTTTTTGATCAGCCTCCTTTTGGATGTGTAAATGCCGACACCCCGAGTCCTGTGGACGGCCTTTTTTTTTCTTCTCGGCTTTGGAGTCACCTATGGTAAAGTTGTTTGAATTGGAAGTACCGTCCGCTGGTCCCTTCCTACCTGTAAAGTCTAGAACTCTCAAGACGAGTGTTATTCTCTTGACGGCCTTTGACGGTCAAAACCGTTTCCCATTCAGTTACGCCGCCCAAACTAAATTTCCACCTGGTTTCCTTATGCTACCTCTTTTGATATAATAAGTGTTGTGTCAAGTTACGGTCATGTCCAAGTACCTGTGTACCGAAAATCGGCACCTTGCACAACCAGGTTATTACTCAACAGCTGACCGCAAAAGCCTTTGACGGCCAAACCGTGTGTTGGCCGACAACTTTGTTTTCTCGGCTTTTGAACCTGCTTTCCTAAAGTTGTTTCCATTAGAAGTACAGTCCACTGGTCCCTTCCTACCTGTAAGGTCTACACCTCCCACGACGAGTGGTCTTCCCTTGACAGCCCTTGACGGTCAAAGCCGGTTCCTATTCAGTTACGCCGCCCAAATTAAATTTCCACCTAGTTTCCCTACGCTGACACACCGATCCCCGTAGTTTTTTTGCCAGGTCTGCCTCCATGATTTTCTTTACCGTCTTGTCTCTATGTTTTATAATAACGGTGCACAAATTAAATTCAGGTTTGCACCAACAGTCATGGCAGTGCATTGACAAATGACCGTCACGCTTTCCGCTCACTTTTTGGTTGTGCGCGCGCAATCTATCATGTAGACATCTTCCTGTCTGTCCCACGTACTTTTTGCCGCACGTCAGCGAATTCTGATAAACTCCTTCGCATTCTACAAACGAACTGCTATGCTTTTTCACGCAGCCAAACGGTGGTTTGTGGTAAGGGTCAGTCAGTTTGCAGAACTTGGCAAGTTTTTCCGGTGCAGAAAAAACCACCCGAGCATTTACGCAATTAGCTATCTCTTAGAGATTGTGTGCAATTTTGTGCATATAAGGCACAACCGCCACTCTCTGTTTCTTTTGGGTCATATCTTGATTTGGACTCGCTACTACTCGTATCTTTAAAGGGGAACTCCGCCGATTTTTTGGTAGACTTCGATTTGGCTGGAAATTTGCAGACCGCATCTATATTCCTTTCTCGAGTGATAACCAAAATAGTTTTAAAAAATACATTTTTTTTCGTGAAGTTATTGACATTTCAAGTTACGCCGGCCGCGAGGGTTCCAGGAGGCGACTGTCTACTGGCAACAATGAAAAATCCCTACTTCTCCCTACCCGCGTACGCCACGGATGTGCAGGCGGACGAGCGACTCGGGCAGCCGCGAAGCGTCTTTCCGGACGCCAGCGATCGAGATAATGTTTTCGCAACGTCAAGGTTGGAAGTGCCTCCTTTGCAATGGGTAGCAATCTGTGCTCCGCGATAGATTGTAGAAACAGTGCGGAGAAGAAAGCTTTTTTTTTTTTTTTTACCCTTGGTTTCGCGGGAGAAAAAAAAAAAAAAGAAAGGCGTTCCCCGGCAGCAATGGAGGCCAGCCACGTCAAGGTGCTTTTGCGCGAGCTGTGTGCCGAGAGAACTAGTGTCACGTGAAACATTTTCCTTTTTGCTCG